ATATATATATATATATATATATATATATATAGGAGAGTTTAAGTATGTTTGTAATTTGATGCATCTAATTGAAGAAGGTTTTGTTTACTGACCAAATACAAAGAAGCATGTCTCCACTAAAGTGTACAATTCAGGGTAAGAAGTGAATGTAATGTTATCCTTTTTGAAGTCAAACAATTGTTGTTGTTTTTTTCACTTGCAATGTCTTTATATTTTAATAGATTTTGGTAAAAAAAAAAAAAAACTTTACTGACTAAACAGTAAACCTTAAAAATGCACTTCTCATTTCATCATTATCTCATTACTAATATATTTTTTTTAACTAAAAAAACCTAAATTAAACTAAAAGCAAGCCAATGGAATTTGAATTTGGTTTTAAACATGATTTTGTCGTTTAATGTGTAAATTATGAAAACCGTGACAGATCAGTTTGTACAGTAAATGTCCTCATGGAGATATGAACATTAATCTACAAAGAAAGAGAGTAAACAGGTCTGAATGTCACTGTTCAATAAGCAAAAATTGTTGACAGTTAATAACTTTGAGTGACTCACCACTGACAGTCACATTGAATTCTTTTATGGCGTCGCCAAGGTTACTTTTTGGGATGATTTTTGTGCTGTTACATATGGGCTTTCTTTTCAATCTTTGGCTGGTGCCTGTGCTGTTGCTTCTGATTATCTGTGCTTCGTAACGTCCAGCGTGTTCAGGTTTGATGTTAGTGATGATCAGAGATCCAGTCTCAAAGTCCACCTTCAGTCTGTCTTTGAATCTCCCACCTTCACCATCATACGAACAACTGTTACTGGGATCTCCATTGATCTGAGCTATGAGAGTGTTGTTAAAATACCACCGCATTGTATCATGTTGCTGTTTGGTAACACCTGTGCTTAGAGTGACAGGATCTCCCTTCATAGCAGACAATGACGTCACCTTATCTGTATCAGCACACTCTGCAGAAACAAATTAAATTACGTTATTTTTGTGAATGAAATTATTCATAAATGACTTTGATCTCAACAAATGACAAAACAGATTAAGAGACAAGTTTGTGAACAGATACGTATATCTTATCATGGCTTTCTTTTTTATATTTAAAACCTCATCTGATACAGAGATCTTAATAAAAATATTATAATGAAGTATTCTTTATCAGAGTTCAGAACATAGAATGCAGAGTCCTTCACTGTAATACAGGAAGCATTTTTAAAATACATTCAAGATACAAAATACAAAAATCGTGGAAAATGTTTTTAATCAACTTTTTCAACTTTAGTTAATATTGCAATAATGAATTATTCACTTAGTTATCACCAGTTGTAGATCCACTTATGAAGTTAGCAAGATTTTCTCATCAAAACATCGTAATTTAGAAGTAATAGGCTATTTTCTGTCCCATTCACCCTCTTTCTGAAACAGGCTATTTCTAAAGGTTTGCTGCATTCAAAACTTAACTACATGCCCACTGCTATGATTGCGTAAGAGTTTTGCATATTTAAATAAGTTTCTGTGCACTGCCATTCCACATGTAAATAAAACTTGAGATGTTGAGAAATGGCATCTGGTGAATTCAGCAGACAACAAACCTACACCTATACCAAGGATACTCCAGCCTGCGACAGATTAGTAATTACTCATATTTATTTAAAAATAAGGCAATGCTAAAGCTGTTTCCCACAACATTCTTGTAATACTCAGAGGAATCTCTATTGTTTTTTTGTTTTGTTTTTTGCTCAAGTAATCCTGTGTTTGCCTGTTTCCTATTTCCTCTTCTGCTACTACATGCACAAATAAGTGGGCTGGGCTAAAGAAGCAATGATGTAGAAGTAGGCTTTGATCTTCTGCACAGATGGCCTTTTGTCGCACTATTATGCCATACTTCAGGTGCACAAACAGGGCAACTTTTTGAGCAATGTTGCCAAAAATGTTTTTTGGGCACTTTCCCATTGAGAATGGCAACACATTTATATCTGGATAGATTGTTTGTGGGCACTGTGTCTCACCTCGTTGCCTGTTGACGGCAACATTGCTCAAAAAGTTGTCCTGTGTATGATCACCTTTAGACAAAATACGAAACGAGCTATTCTGGTAGCTTGGTTTCAATAAAACCTGTTTTTGGACTAAAAAGGAAGCTTACAGGATGTTTTTATAGTATAATGACCTCTTATGTCAAAAGACAATAATTTAATAATAATTTGGGTAATAACAAAGACTATAGATATACAAAGACAGTTCTCCGGTTCCCATACCTGAAACTTGCGCTTATGACTTCACATGTGCATTGGCTGGTCTAGCCTGAAAAACGGGTTTTTGTTTTTGTTTTTACATTATTTGAGCATAAGGAACAACATTGGGACAGTTCATTTCAGATTTTGTTGCTGATTTGAAATATGTAATTTAATTGCGAAAATGTAGTACAACGCAATTTTTACAACGCAGTTACAACGTTCCAATCTGCACAACTGGAATTTAAACCTGGTTAGTGTCTTCTGCTAGTTAACAAAGCATTAAAAAAACACTATCTAAACTGGTAAATAACAGATTGGAGATTAAAATAATAGCAGATTTGTCTCATTTTAAATGAATACTAAAAACTGAGTTAAAATATTTACTTTTACTATGGTAAAATAAATATTCAGCGATATCATCAAAATATTTTTTAATTTTGGCACATCTCTATAGTGTTGATATGGCAACCAGTAAATGCCGTGAATTTGGTTATGCTAGCATGTGTCCCATTCAATTGTACAATCTGACAAGACTATTAAATTGTACAGTGTGTACCTGTTTTAAGTTATTGAGACCACTGTTGTAATTTCTGCAATCTAGGCTACTTAAAGGCTCTGCATTACTTACTTAATGAAACGGAAAGGAGTACAAAACAGACTGTCTTCATTTCTCTGTCTTTTTCAGTCGACCTCACGGTTGCCGCTATGGCTGCACACAGTAAAATGGTCTACTTTAGTTATGAGCCCGAGGATGGATCACGTGAAGCGAATCGCGTGTGCTCGACCTGAAGCAGCATGCAAAGCACGCCGGCAGGTATGGAAGGCCAGAAAGGCCAAAAACAGTGAATTTTAACATGTCAACACCTTAAATACGCATATACGCGTGAAATACGCGTTAAATACATGTTGTTTGCGCGTGAAAAATCAGCGCGTTAAATACCGTATTCAACACCTATATAATAATAGCAGATTTGTCTCATTTTAAATGAATACTAAAAACTGAGTTAAAATATTTACTTTTACTATGGTAAAATAAATATTCAGCGATATCATCAAAATATTTTTTAATTTTGGCACATCTCTATAGTGTTGATATGGCAACCAGTAAATGCCGTGAATTTGGTTATGCTAGCATGTGTCCCATTCAATTGTACAATCTGACAAGACTATTAAATTGTACAGTGTGTACCTGTTTTAAGTTATTGAGACCACTGTTGTAATTTCTGCAATCTAGGCTACTTAAAGGCTCTGCATTACTTACTTAATGAAACGGAAAGGAGTACAAAACAGACTGTCTTCATTTCTCTGTCTTTTTCAGTCGACCTCACGGTTGCCGCTATGGCTGCACACAGTAAAATGGTCTACTTTAGTTATGAGCCCGAGGATGGATCACGTGAAGCGAATCGCGTGTGCTCGACCTGAAGCAGCATGCAAAGCACGCCGGCAGGTATGGAAGGCCAAAAAGGCCAAAAACAGTGAATTTTAACATGTCAACAACACCTTAAATACGCATATACGCGTGAAATACGCGTTAAATACATGTTGTTTGCGCGTGAAAAATCAGTGCGTTAAATACCGTATTCAACACCTATATAACGTGTTACATATGCTTAAATAGGCCTGAAATATGTTAAAAATCAATTGACCACTGATTGGCCAAATTCACCACATGACAACAATGACGTGTGTTTCTAACATCTTCAAATCCAATACTGCTCATAAATCTGTGTTTTTAGAACATTAAAAGCTTTTTTACTGTAGTCGCAATGTTATATTGAGTCACGTATATCATGAAAGCATATACACCCCCACTTTATTAGTATTTAAATAGTATATATTTACGTTGAACTTTATTCTTGAACAGATGGCGCTGTATTAAGCAGTATATAAAAAGTGTTTCTGTTGCTCATGAAAACATTTCTGAAACGTCTGTGTATTTGACAAATATTGCATTTAATTCACTTCATCTGTGATAGAGTATGCAAACACCGCGCGAGCGTCACTAACGGGAGCAGAAAGTGTCCGGCTTGACGGCTCCGTTTTCAACTCCGCCCCCGACTGCAAGCGGCCACTCTCGTTGACTGCCGTCTGTAGCGGTGCTTCAAGTTGAACGCACCTTATATCTGTCTTTGGAAAACAACGTGAGCTTTTTTTTTTGTGCTTACATTTACAGCTATTGCCAGCAGGTGCTACCTCTTTGAAAAAAATACCTCTTTTTGTTCAGAGATTATGCACTCATCTGACAAACAGTAATTAGGTACACAGGTGATGTTATCCATTTAAATGAATTTAAAGACTTAAAGTATTTAAATATGGTATTTAAGACTTTATATAAGATTTTCAGGATTACAATGAGAGCTTGTACTCAGGTCAGGACAGGTATAAGAACTTGATTTGGCTTTCCTGACAGCAGAAGTATTCTACTGTACTAAAGTCCTAGGCCACCCTGAAATTGTATCTGTGAAATGATTAGGTAATTTGTTAAAGCACTTCATAACATTTAAGTAAACATATAAACATAACAATACTCTGTTTTTTTTTTAGAACCACACACATATAGTTTATGCAGTATCTGCAAGTAATCAGGATTGTTACCGAGAAGCCTATTGTACACTTCATAACAGCTAGAATTAATTGTATGGCTGCTTTTGTGACAGTTTATATGCTGGTTTAGCAATGTGACAGACTTGATTGGCTTACTGAAAGTACTATAAGGCTAGGACAGAAGACTAATTGTACTGCAAACTGCTCAAGGACCTATTCCAGGAAGGTAGCTGAACAAACTCAGGGTTACAGGAAAAGTTTTGAGTTGACAAAACCAAACCAATGCAATCAGGCTTTGTTGATGTCATGAAGCAGCTCATGAACTTTCTCTGTCAACTTCGACCTTAAAGGTATAACCAAACCCCTGCAACAACTCAGTGTTGGCCTTGTTGAGGGGGTGGCGGGTTTCAAACCTAACCAGCAGTTTACTCAAATGAGACTGTGCTATTTATGCTAGCTCATTTTTTTCAGTTCCCCAGTTACTTTACCTTCCTCAAGCACTGACAGAACACAAACTCTGACTGAGCCAGGCCAGTTGACATCCAACTTTTGATCAAACATTCATACAAATCATCTACATGATAAAATGTAAAGTAGGTAAGTGTGTTAATATATTCATTTATATTCTAAATCAAAACTGATGTCACTGAAAGCTCACATGTACAATAGAACTACAGTACAACAGACTTTCTATTCACAAAACCAGCCTCATGTTGTTTTAGAGCTGTGAATGATTGCAACTGTAATGTCTGATTACTTATTCTTAGGGAATTAATTATTATTAATTCATTCAAGTTTTGAGAGGACTCGAATCGGAACATTCGAAGTCA